TCCCCCAGTAATGAAAGGAAGGTGGCAGAAATTCTCTAAATATCACCGTTTGCCTACAAGGGATTATTGATTCTGTATTAAAATTCAGCTTCTAAAACATTCCGTCAACCCGTGTTACTTTTAATGGATTTGTTATCTGAGATAATATGACTGGAAAACACCCATAACCTGATATGCGTATTTCATCAGTGTGATAATTCAAGTGAAAAGCTTGGTGCTCAGTACGCGGTTTGAACCTAAATCTATCTTGACTAAAATGTTTAAACTTTGTCCTTTAAATGTCACAAAGAAATGTTCTATTTCCTGTTAAGGACTCTGCTGACCAGGAGAATTTTACATTTCCCTTATGAAGCATTATCAAAAATATTTCAGGTGAATCTCTCTTAAATAAGGTACTTCCTGATTTATGTTATATTTCAAATTATTCCTTTATATGGTAAATGCAGTATAAAATTGTTTGAAATTTTGAAGAAGTATAGTACAGTTTTGAGCTAAGTTTATTCATTCACTAATTGAAAAATATCTATATTCAGGATAAGAATTGTAGTTTATAAAATCAAACAATTAAAGAACAGAGCAAATAAGTGGAACCATGCAGTAGACTTAGCCAAGCCAAATAAAACAGTCTCATACCAGACCCTACAGCTGAATCAAACACAATAAAAGAAAGTCCAGGAGGTTAACTGGATTCCAAAAAGAATGTTATTATTTAGAATTTCTATTTCCTCAGTATTAAAATCTGGGAACTTTAATTGTTTTCTTTGATCTTGATTAGATGTAAGCAAATATCATTATATTTAAGGCCATAGTTCCATATTCAGACCTCTCAAATTAGGGAAACTATGTATCCCATATTGTGAGGTCATTTAATATTGTGCAAAACGCAAATGTCTTATCAAATTTTGCCATTGGCACAGCCTAGCTGTGATTCTCCTCTACTGGCGTCCTTCCCTACCTCCCTCCCCATATCTATAAACCCCAGTTTTTTTCAAGCTCTGGGTACATAAATGGTTCAAGGGAGCCCAAGTTTCACAGTTCTGGGGGTGAATTCATCGCAGAAATTTCACTCCCTTGTCAGGGATTGATTTTGAAATGGGCAATGATAAGATTCTGCCCAAAGGATATTAAAGCAAAAAAATAAAAATAAAAATAAAGGCCCTTGGGACAGAACCCTATTATGTCTCCCCTTGTCCAGTGTTTAATTCCGCTGAGTGAAGTGGTGACACTTGGGGCTGTCGAAGCTTTATAGCAACAAGGTGGATCAAGACCGTCAGAAATGCAGCAGTGTTTTGGGAAGAATAGCAGTGTTTTGGGTTTTGACAACATCAGTGAGCTGCTAAAGAAACCAAAATCACTCTACTGTCTGCCTTTTTATTACACTGGATACAAATTCTTCTGATAGTTTAAGCCAATTGGTTGCCAGACACATCAATGTCCTATATCCAGTTACACACATTTCCGCCAAAAAATGGATTCACTTCCGCTCAGTGTTTCTTCCTCATTTGATTCTCTCTTCTATGGAAGCCTCGCCTCCATCAATCATGGTGGACACTCTATGCCCATTTGACAAATGAGCTTGTCTCAAACACTTTTTAAAATTTATTTCTATAAAAATATTTTAAGTTATATATTAGATTGTTCAATATTGGCCAAAACAGGAAAGTATTCTAGTTGTGCTTCTCATGACTGGGTAAGCAAAAATAAGTTATTCTAATTCCTCCTTTGGACTTCTCCAGATGAGGTGATTAGGATCCATTTCCATTTTATGCATGTTCTTGCCATTTTCTGCAACACACTGTTTATAACTTCTGGTACTTTTTGTGAGTTTGATGGAGGAACTTATGTATTCCTTTATGTAGATCTACAAGTGAGACCCAGAAAAGTGGAGCTGACATTTTGTAAAACTGCAGAAGGGAATTCTTCCAATCCCCAAACTTTCCCCACTATCTGGAAGGATGAATGCCTGTCCTACTTTAATATACTATTATATATGTTATTACTGATTGCACACATATTTTTGGATAATACCTTGTTAATTCCCCAAGGTAGACTTGGCTTCCCCATTCACTTTCTGCTACCTGCCCTATGTTCCTAGGAAGCAGAGCTTCAGAATAAAGATAGATTAAATTGACTGTTCTCTAATTGCAAAAATATTTAAATCTTTTGTAAGATTCACACTATCCATGCCACCTATGTGAAACAAATAAAGCAGGGCCCATGCAAAGATAACCATGAAGACACAAGTCACTCACATCCAAGATGCTACCAGTGGGGACACCCTCCAGTCTCCAGGGTCACAGCAGCAGTGACAGCTCAGGGGACTTAGAATCTCATTTTACATAAAGGATTATAGATGGCATCTTGAAGGACTATTCTCTCAAAATGAGAGTCCCCTTACTATAAAATCAATGGACAAAGTGGGAGTATATTGAAATAAGTTATCTTCATTCAAATAATAGCTAAGGCTTTTGGGTAATAAGGAACAGAATTCAAGTATATGAAAGAAATTGGACATCAGAAACAAATGGATCTAGGAATACTAAAGATACCCTCTTTCCATTGCTCCCTCTACAACTGTCTTCATGCCTGACTATATATTTTTATTCTCTTTTGAAACCTGTTTTCTCTTATGTCCTAATCAAAATTCTTAAAAATATTGCCAGCAACTTGGATATCCAGTCCATATTTCAACATTCCTAGAGATGGATCCCATTTAATGCAGTTGTCCATCTTTGGGGCATTCTGGTTTAACTAGTGGAGGCTGCTTTCTTGACTCAAAAAGAATGAGAAATTAGAGTCATTCATAGGAAAACGGATACATATTGAGGATATATTCTTAAGTGAAATAAATAAGTCACACATATGTAAATACTGAATAGTTTCTCTGGTGTGAAAAACTATAATAGTACACAAGATCCTAATGGGATAATTAATAGTGTGAAATAGGAAGAAAAGCGCTAAAGGTGTAGGGAAACTGGGAAGGGTAGGGGAAACAGAATAAGAGAAAAGAAAAAAATATGAGAAAATGAAAAAATGGAAATAAAGTGTTTATAAATGGGGAGAGGAGGAGGGGGTGAAGGGAGGACAGGAACAAGGGGAAAAAGTGAGAACCAAGACCTGTCATGTGAAGGTACAGGATCCCAGTAATGAATGTAACTGTATTGTATACCTTGACTATATCAATAAACTCAATAAAAAGAAAAAAAAATTCTCTTCTTAGACAATTAGAGCAAGGATCCAAGGAGCAAGATTACATTCAACAAAATGGCCACCTGAATTTTCCATGTAGTAAGAATAAAGAAACACACCAGGAAAGAGTCAGAAAGTATGATGCTTAAAATACTGCTTATCTTCAGTCCTGTCTTCGTAACTTATAAGACTCTCAGTACAGTGGAAATATGGGTCCTTCATTCAGAGATTATTTAGAATTTCAAGCAGCAGCATGGCAAGCCAAGTGTGAAGCCCTTCTGTGTGTGGGGCCCAATGTTGCTCCATTGACCGTACACTCTTGAAGTGTCTTCCATAAGTGCATTTTAAAGATCAAAAGACCTTATATGGTAGTTTATAAAGTTGGCAAGACAATAGACTATACACATTTACTGAGGGCCATCTATTTGCTCATCTTCCCTATAATGCTGTGATATGGGAACCTATTCCATTTTATATAAGAAAAAATGACAAGATTCTTCACCCAAATTCTACATATCCAAGAATTCCAAACTCAAGTCTTTTGGCTTGAGTTTAGGAGATGGTGATACATTATGTAACAAATCCATAAACTTCATCACTGTTTTAGATGGTGATATTAGATTTTTCTCCATTTTCAATATTTGTTTCCTGTTGCTTTACAATTAGTTAAGTGGCAGCCACAAGTCCATACTAGAGTTGGAAAAGTATCCTTTTCTGCCTCGATTAGAATCACTGTAATACCTGAAAATATGGTTGCATTAGACACTAAAATACGACTAAGAAACAAAATATCAGAAGTTTCTAATACTAGAGCAACATATTTAATATTACCTAAGTAGTACAAATATAACCTAAACAGCACCTTGTCTGTTGTCTGGGGTCACCTTGTCTAATGTCCTTGCTATAGTTTAGATGTTGAATGTCTCCCAAAAGTCTAAGACTTGGTCCAAAATGTGGCTTTATTGGAAGGTGATGGAATTTCCAGGAAGTAGAGCATGGTAGGAGGCTCATACATCACTAGAGTGAACCCTTAAAGGGTACTGTGAGATCTTCGTCCCTTCCTCTTGACCTGTTTTGTTTCCTGGCTATGAGATGAGCTGGTTTGTTCCCCCGCATGTTCCCTCCATGGTTCTGTCTCACTTCAGGACCAAAATAATGTGGCCAATCAATCTCAAACTGAACCCTCCAGAACAGAGAGCCAAAATAAACCCTTCCTCTTTTTAAATTAACTGTCGCAGGTATTTCATTATAGTGATTGAAAGCTAACACAGCACCTCTCAGTATTTCTGTAAATATTAGTGCTTGGTTTTACCTCTGAGTTCCTTTCTCCCCACACAACAGTCCCCAAACTTCCACATCTCACCCACTACAAGCAATACTTTTTCCGTTATCACTATGCTGACCCAATATCAAAGCAGTACCTACCCTTTCATATTGATCCTGAAACCAGTCACACTGGTATCAGCTCAAGTCTCATTTTAGTAAATATCTCAGTCTCACAGTGAAGCAACACAGGTCAACAACGCAAATGAGACCCTGCCGTGTTAAGAGCTCTTCAACCGTGCACCAGTGGGTACCAGCTCCTTGGGTAGCTCTGCAGTACTTCGCAGAATGGAACTTGCTTGGCCTCCTCCTTACCTGGGTGCCTTTACATGTTTCCACCCTCACACTGTGATGAAAAATGCTGTTTCTTTGATCCATTCTGCTACTTGTCTATCTTTAGCTACTCAAAGACCCCGACGTGAACATCCTTGCTAAACTGAGCCTCAGTGTCTGAACAGCACAGAGAAGTGACGAGGGGCTTTTACCTTTCAGAAACTCTTCACCCTCTCTTCAGGCCATCAGCAGCAGTCTCTATAATGGGAAGGGAGTAGCACCAAGAGTGAATTTCCATTGATCAGCACCCCACAAAGCCAACTGACCCACCCTCTGCCCCAGCAGGCAAAAGTGCCCACAGACAGCTTGGGTTTTAAATAAAAAGTGTATTCTACCACACTGCACTGGAAACAAGCAAAGTAAGCTCCTTTATCTATTTCATAAAACATAATTCCATTTTAGCTTATTTTAATCTCAATTTTCTTTTGTTTCTATAGAAACAAAGAAATCAAATCCCAGCATTTAGTGTTCACACATGTGAATTTTCAATTTATAAAATGATCTTTCTCTATTGTTTTAATGTCTAGCAAATTCAAAAGTGCTGTTCAAGCCCAGATATTTGTCATAAAGTCTATAATAAAAAAATACCTCTATCCCCTCAAGAAAGGCAACAATATAGAAAATTGAACTATATTTTATAATGTTCTTCAAACTACTAATGCTACGAAGTAACAAAGCATTGTATGATGGCATTGTGCTTCAGCAATTTGGTTTTATAAATTGTACTTTTTAATGCTAGCTCTTTCTTTAATAATTACTTTAATGTACCTGATTTCTTCTCAAAGTTTGTTAAAAGAAAATGGATATTATCAACCATAACTATAGAAATGTGCTTTAGTGAAAAGTCCAAGAAGCTGTTTGGGGGTACAGTATGGCCCATGGGAGCAAAAGTGTATCTCATAAGGTTATTTTGTAGAGTAAATGGATTAAGAGTAGTAGCCACCGTTTATTGGGTGCTTTTTGAATAAGATCCCACATAACACTCAGAAAAAAAAAAAATCTTATTATGCAAGAAGTAATAATGTCCCTAAACTGTCTGGCAGGAAAGTAAAGTTTCTCAGAGAGGTAAAGTAACTTGTTCAAACCTTGAGTGACAGAACAGGAATCTGACCCAAGTAACAACAAAATCCTATGATTTCACTGTCTGTGCTCTGCCTTCCATGGCAAAGCAGAGGTTCATCTATTTTGCATCATGCTCCCCATTCTTGGAAAGCAGTGGTTCTCAAAGCGTTTTCTGTCACCAACAGTAGCAGCAGCACCTGCGACAAGGACTTATTGGACAAGGACTTCCTTAGGCCCCGCAGCACGTATATTGCATTACAAATACTGGGAATGGGACCAAAAATTTCTGTTTTAATTAACCCTTAGATGACTGTAATACGTGCTAACAATTGGTAATCACCAAAGGTGGTATAATTTGGGGGGGCTCGCAATACAAGGAGAGAAAGACACAAGCATGAAACAAGTAAAATCCTGGTAAATGCAAAGAGAAAATGATGGAGGAAAACATGTATTCAGTATGAACATTCCAGGAATTTTAGTAGGGCTCTGAAGGGTGAATAGAAGCAAACCTAAGGAGAAAGTGACAGGGACGGCAGAGTGCAGCGTGTCGTGAAGGGAACCAGGCGCCTGCTGGGCTGGAGTGTCAGAAGATGGGAAGACACAAGAAGTATCAGACTGTGGACAGGAGCTGGAGCCACACAAAGCACACTCTGAGCAATCAGGAAGTTTTAATGATGTTTCGGGGAGGGAGTAATAGGACAATAGCTGTGCTTTGGAAAGAAAAATAAATTATTTTTTCAATCCTTGGCATTAAACACAGGGCCTTCACACTGAGCGACACCCTTGGCCTATTCATTTATTTATTATTCGTTCCTTCATTCATTTATGACATGTTCAGACAGTGCCTTTCCAAGCCACTAGATTGCCCAGACCGGGCTTGAACCTGCAATCCTCCAGCTTCAGCTGCCTGGAATGCTGGGATTACTAGCATATGCTAACGTGCCTGGCTTGAAAAGAAAAATGGATGGCAGTGTGGAGGACGGGATGGCGAGGGAATGCTCAGAGCCTGGAGCACACACTCCGGCCTGAGCCTTGCTTGAGACCCTTAGTGAGATTGATTTCACTTGGTATGCAGTCTGAGAATTATTAGCATAGACAATTGCATATGAAAAAGGCCAAAAACAATCACTTCCTGCTCTATTGCATGATCTTTGTTTAGCTTTCCTTGTAAGATTTCCTTGTTTGTTCCTGATTAGGAAACTCACACTTCTTGATGTAGAAATTTATAAAATTTAGATAACCCTGAAGATAATAGGACCCACTTAAACTCAGAATATTCTTAGCATTCGAGTGCAAATCACGTGAAAGATATGCATGCATAAGCATGAATGACATTTACCCACATAGAGAGGGATGAGCCCTAAATACCATTTCCTTCTTGTCCAGCCCTGAACATAACAGGCACTTTTTCATGTAATCAAAAATCATTTGAAAACAGAATTTTTGATAGACCTACATAAGAGTCTAGCTGTTGGATATTTTGTAGCTTAGTTAATGCTCTGATTTCCATTTTCTACATCATATTCTACATTTTAATCATTTTCATAGGTAGAATCTTACAGGTGGAAATTAAGGGTGACAATCTAGGGATGTAGCCTAACATATCCTAATCTCATATCATGATAGTGACCACCAAGAATATTGCAGTATTTTATTTTCAACCAAAGTTTAACAAACTTATCAATCTTCCCATAACCTCACCAGCATCATGTATTACTTAATTTATCTTGAGGCATGTTTTTGTGACAATATATTACTGTTGGAACTGATAGAACGTTTGCATTGTATTCTTAGCATGGTCTGAGATGGACATGGCTGACATTTTTCAGAACGGAATTAATCCTCCCAAAAAGCATTATCTTACATAGCCATTGTTGGTCTATGAGTACCAACACATGCTGTCAGTAGCTATCAATAAATATCTCAAACTATGAGAAACTGCAGAGTGAAATGTCTTAAGAGACCAAAGGAAAATCCTATGAGAACCAGGAGACAACAAATACATCTGGCTTCTGGACCTACAGCAGATTCATTCATTAATTCATTCATTTTAGTAATATACAGGGTGATAAATTTGAAATAACATACATAAAGGGCTCCATTGATTATGAACAGAACATTGGGTGCAGACAAGAATCTCTTAATGCATGAGAGGTTAAGAGTGATCGCTTTTGATGTTAATTGGAAAAATTTTCTCTAGGGTAGGTACACTCTTGACAAATGAGCTCTCAGTTAATTTCAGGGCATGGTCAATGAGTGGTACACTCTTTAAGAATCAGTTTTCCTCTCATTTATCAATACTGTGCCCTATAATGTTGTATTTTAAATTACTTTTACTTGTGGCTCCTTTCTTTAAAAATTAAATTTGGAGTGAGGTCCAGTATGTCACCACTCAGTTTTCATTGGGAGTAGTTTACAAACACAGAAGTTATTATTTCTCTCTAAATTGGCCTGAGAAATACTTACTAAAACACAACTCAGCTGGCATTATCTGTTCCTCTACAGTCTTCTCAGACTTCCCCAGGCTCATTTAGCCATAGTTTTCTCTCTGCTTCCTCAATTCATTTCATCCATGTCCATCTCGCCTTGTGATGTGTTGCACTGGGACCAGTTGTGGCCATGTTGGTCTCGCCAACAGGACTATATGCACTGTGAGAAAGGTCATAGGGTGGATTGATTGATTGATCGATTTTAAATAGATACATAGTAATGGTGCATATTTATGAGGTACAGTACGATGTTTGTAACAGGTATATGGTGCATAGATCAAATCAAGTACAAGGACAGTTTCTTTCATCCTGAGCTGGTTGCACAGTGCCCCTCAGCAACACTGTCTCAATTAGTAAATGGATGGAGAACCCAAGAAATAGTAGCAGTGGATTAGGGACACTCATGTACCTTTTCAAGAATCTAGGCAAAAATGCAAGCAAAGTGTGAACTAAGATGATAAGGATAGAAAAGAAAGAGTTGTAGTCTCTTTTATTCTACCAAATTTGGTGGGTGTTTCTTTTAAGAAAACATAGAAAGTAAAGAGTACAGATTTGTAAAGACCCTTGGTCACCTAGTCAATCTCATGTTGCATTTTCTTCCCTTCTCATAGTGGTCTAACTTATTGGAGGAGCACTGTGGTCAGAGTTTTTGACTACATTTCTTTGCCTCCCTGGTAGACTGATGCAGCTCTACTCTGATCCACTCAATATGAGTAAAGATTGTCAAGCAGTTCCTTCAAGAAAGCTCCCCTTTAATTATGTTCCTTGGCCACTGGCAGATGCTCTTTGATTCTGTGGACTTCCTCCTCTTCCTGTCTAAAATGCAGAAGAAATGGCTGGAGTTCTAGCATCTGTCTTCAGAAGGCATCCCAGAGAGGCCCAGAGACCCTCACGGCAGCATGTGTCCACCCTGTAAGTGTGGCAGACGTAGTTAGATAAAATTGACAGGCTCAAAACTAAATTTGGGAATTTCCTGGAACTTGAGGTCAAACGAGAGCATTGGGACCAAGATAATGCTGAGGGTTTGAAGTTTTCCCACCCAGAGAAGTTTATTTTCATACACAAACAAAATGGCTAAAATGAAGTGGGTAGGAGAGGGGAGCCGACTTGCAGAGACAGTTGTTGAGCTTTGACTTTGGACACTGAGCTTGATGAAATCCAGGTGAAGATAAAAAGCTTGGGAGGAACAGTACGGTGGCCCAGAGTTTCGGGTGGGGGTGATAACTAGAGTAGTTAAATGGCAGGGTTTGCTTAAGGTGTCAGGCAAAAAGAAGGCAATAAAGGACAAAATCCTGAGGAAGCACCTTGAGGCAACAGAAAAAGATTCAATATAATTAGAGGGGACCAAAAAAAAAAAAAGTGCTGCAGAAGGTAAAAGATACAAAAGGGCAGAGAATAGTTATTTACAAACTGTCATTGGACGCGGCTCTTGGGGAGTCAGAAGTGCCAGGGTGTCAATACTTGAGGTAGAGAAATGTAGGGATTCCAAATCTGAAGAAATGTTGCCAATAGGCTTATTCACTCAAAAACTCAAACTATGAAGGGAAGTAGAGAGAATGTCATTTAACAAATACCATTGAGGGGTAGCAGAACAGAAAGTCCTGCTGGATGGATTAAAGACAGTGTTTCCCTTGGAAGATGTATATGATACTTTAATATTTAATCAAATTTAATATTTATTAAGTTCCTATCTTTAATGTGTATAGGGAATATAAAGTAAACTGCCAGTCATGTTGTATACCGAGTTATTATCAGTGAATACTTGCTTTTCAGAAAACATGCATCCTATCCCTAATGTAAAAAAACAAAACAAAACAAAAAAACACCTCTATCTTGTGTTCTAATTACACCTTTCACCTTTCTGTCATTGCTGTCAAAAAGTGGATGCTAAAAATTGCCCCAAATCAGCATTGCTTTCTACTTGGCATAGCCCGGCCAGACTGTTCTGCTTTCTCTTTTGGATACTCCCACTGTGCCTAATCCATAGTTTGGATCTGAGCAAGTAAACACGCCTCCCCCGGCAGCCACCCCTACACATAGGCCCCATTCTTGTGTCAACTCAGTTGGATTCAGAAGAGTAAGCAAGCATGTGGAAAATAGTTCAGAGGGTTCTCCCATGTTGAGTCTTCACCGGCCCCTAGAACTATGAGTATGTACAACAGACATCAATGCCACTTTACCTTATTTAACTTCTGCCAGCATCACTCTTCGCACTTCACAGATGATAAAATCAGGATTCAGAGATTTTTAGTGTTATACACAGGTCACAGAGCTGGAATGCAGAGCAACAGAGATACGACGCGGTAACACACAAACTTGTAGTCGCTATAGCTTACAGACTTTCACATGGCCATGGGTGCTATAATGTGCAAAGCATTTTTAAATGCCTTGCTCTTGATAGTCACTCGCTTAAAATAAGCATAATTATTTTGATTTCTATTCATTTTACCCAGAGGAGACAAAGCCTCAGGAATCCGCCCCGGTCACTAAGTTAGTGGTGGACTGACTCACCATATGAGCCCATGTTTTCCACTCTCGCCTCCAAGCCCCTTCTGCTTTAAATACTCTGGAATATAAAGCATGCTCATAAAATCTAACCTCTGTTGAAGCAACAGGGCACCTTTATTATAACAATTTTGCTTGCATATTTTCTTTGTATTTCTTTATCTATTTTTTGAGAAACATTCTTCTCCCAGGGTTTCTAAAGTCCAATAATCTACCCTGGAGATGGGTCCACCAGATAGTTTGGAATAAGACTCTCAGGTCAATCATTTTTAGAACCAAAAGCAGAGCAAACCATTTTTGGTTTACTATTTCGAGGTTCTGAAATGTTCAGTTGCATTTGTTCCCTTTGGTCTGCAGCCAGGAATAGAGGCATAAGGGCTCAAATACCAAATGAAAGGGTGTTCTCACAGTGTTTCTGGCCAGGACAAGAGTAGAAATATGGGAGAGCTCACAAGCAAAGCTGTTCTGAGATTTTCATAGCGGACCTGCAAAAGCAAGATGCATGCAAAAAATATAAATATCGAGTGGTTATCTGAAGAAGCAAAGTCTTAATGTAAACTCTTCTGACCTTTGAACCTCACACCCTGCATCCACCCATCTTCTTGTTCACCTACTTCCTCAAGCTGTGCATCCATACAGGTGTACCCTCTTCCACTTAGGCCTGAAGGAATAGGATATTATTTTACAGATACAACTCAACCGGAGATATACATGGTTGGTTCCAGGAGGATGTGCAGAAGCAAAATCATCTACTTTCCTTTAAACATACAGACCAGGCAAAATATATTGCCCCAAAATTCTACATAACTATGTTCTGCTTATCAATAGCTCTTCAACTGCCAACTTCAATGTTGTTATCCTCCAACACCAATCTCATTTAACTATTTTTAGTTCATTTATAAGTTTTTATCGATATTTTTGAATATTGGATTGATTCAGCTCTCAGCCAAACTTGCACTTCTAATTTTATCCCGTTAAACTGGCTGCAAGGGTAAAGTATGATCTGATCTCTCCAAATGTAATTTTCTCTTTTTTATTTAACAGCCATGGACTTGAGAACTTCTACTGTTTAGTTATTAATTTTAGTTCTAAATTGATGGTTTAATTTCTTCCTAGATAATTTGTGTTCTACCTTCATAATCTCGGGCAGTTAAAGTTAAATAGAATCATCGCTAACATGAGAGTCCACTGAAATTACTAGTTCAGAAAAAGAGCAGATACTGTCCAGGGTGATTAGAAAAGCTGGGTCTCAATCAGACCAAAACAAGTGGTAAATTCCCTTGGAGAAGTTATACAAAGGCAGAACATTAGTTAGAGATTGTAGGGGAAGTGATCCCTGAAGCATGTTCTGTTGAACATCAATTAATAATTGCCACTTAAAAAGAGTTTAACAGTAAAATAACTTTTTGAGAAATGCTAACTTCAATGGACTTAACCAGTCCATTTTCTTCTCCTCATTTTCGTGTACTTGAAGTTCTAATGGTCCATTAGCAAGCAGGAAGGAGGAATATGTGCCAAGTACAACTGACCTGGACACAGTTATTTCACAGAGCATCCCATGGGGTTAATCCACTTTGGGAAGCCCTGACCTAGAACAACCAAGGCTCACCAGAAGAAGAAATAAGGGAGCTTCCTCTGAGCATTATGTCTGTACCACAAGTTTATTGTTGCATTTAATCTTCATGACAATTGTGCATGCTGAATAGGAAATCTATTCCTATTTTACAAATAAAAAAACAAGCTTTCAATAGATATATCAGTAGTCACTGACACCAGCTATTTGTAAACAATAGGAACCAATCTCTGACCTTTTAAAGCAAAGGCTCAGGTGGGTGGGCCATGTGTACACATGTGTACACAGAACCGCATCCAAGATGATATTGTAAGTTATGCTCAGGAACTGCTGAAACATTCTATTTCTTCAGAGCCATGTCTGTGTAAGTGAAAGAACTGAGACTTTGAATTCTATCTTCTTACTCCCAAACACAGTGGTCTTTCTATTGTAACAAGCCAACAATGAATGGTGCTGCACATCTTGGTGTCTTCCAGTAAAACCCTAGAAATTCTAAGAAGGGACACATCAGTTGATTTGGTACATGGTTCAAGATACTACACTAACCTCCAAGATGGCCAGGTACACAACGCAAGGTTTTAGAAATAAAAGCCAATATATCAACTGGTACATTGACTTCTTACAAAACCACCTAGGAATTTGTGTCTTATAAACACTGCATGAGGTATTGTCAAATAAAAATGCTTTCCTTTCTACTATCAGACGGAAGTATTGTCCTATTTCTCCAGAGCATTATCTGTGGATTTTGAATGTTCGGCAACTTGTCCTTAAAAAATCTAAATTAAACTGTGTTCTCAAAGATAAAATAAGCCTTTTTCTCTGGCCTTTCTAAAATCCATGAAAATTTTCCCTGTTCACATACAATAGTGAGCTTTCCAGACCTGCCGGCCTGCCCTTTCATTCTGATTGTGAATGTTCCGGTTCAACTCCTATTTCTGCAATAAAACTGCTTGTTTAAAAAAATACTGTCAGTAATTATTAACCCCTTTGCTTCAGCTTCTTATGCTGACAGAGAGCTATTGGACAGACTCCCAGTCTCAAAATCTAAACACTGAGTTTTTAAAGTTAAGGTGCCCCAAATGAAAGTCAATGCGGGAGGGGGGTCTCATTGTTTTCTCCGGCAATTGTTCTCACCTGCAGACATTTTCCATTTTCCATTGATCTCCTTAGGCTTTTTGCACTTGGCTAATGTGTCTGTGAATAAGGAAACTCTAGCAGATCTTAGCTGGTAGACTGCTCCTCACTCAGACCACTCAACAATGGATGAATGCACTTCAGTTACTCCTTGAACTTCGGAACAGAGCAAATGAGTTTCTAAACTTGGGGAAAGCTTTGCTATAAAATGGGCTAAGAAAATAACCTGGGAAAAAGGAATGAAGAATTCAAAGAGAAATTAGCTTCTCTTATTATATTTACAGGTCAAATGCCTATTTGGGGATACACTGTGCACAGTTGGTAAAGTACATAATATCCACACAGTTGAGCCTAATGGCTCTTTGAAAGCCATTAAGGTGTACTAAGTCAATACATATTTGTGGTGTGAGTGCTTATTTGAAAAACACATTGTTTTACTTATAATACATTCTTTCACATCAGAACCCTCTGCTCTAAAAGTGGGTTATTGTTTGGATTGAGCAGTTTACCCAGCAGGGAAGGAAGATTGAAGATTTTTGGGTTTGGGAGGCACCTGGGGAAGCTCTGGGGCTGAGAACTGGTATCTACTTCCAAAAATGTATTTCAGTATTGGGAAAATAAGTTTTTTTGATTATTCATATCCCTGAGAACTACAATCTTTCCACAACAAGAAGAAACTAAGAATATTTGGAAGAGTTAGGAAAACTCCCTCTGCGACATGAAACACCAAATATCACATAAATTAGGTTAAGGGAAAATTTTGCCCAGTGACAGAAATATTTTGAAAACGAAGAGGGGGGTGATTTTTAATAAATTAAGTGATTTAATAAATTTGGTGATTTTTAATAAATCAAGTTGTTTGTAAAAGTAGAGGTTATTTACAAGTCTACCTATTCTCTCAAGTCTACGGGGCTAAAATCATTAGTCCATGATCGCAGAGATGCTGTTGTATAAGTATGATTTCTGTTACTGTGATGAAATACTTCAGATAGTCAACTTATAAGGCAGAAAGGTTTATTTTGGCTTACAGTTTCAGAGGTTCCAGTCAATAGTCACTTTTCTCCATTGCTTTTGGTCCTGAGATGAGTCAGAACATCATGACAGGAATATTTGGTGGAGTAAAGCTTTTCACCTCAAGGAGCCCGGGAAGAAAAGAGAATGGAAGAGGAGAGGCTGAGGTTCCACCATCTCCTTTAAGGGTATGACCTCAAAGACCTAACTTCTTCCCACTAGCCCCAATCTCCTAAATGTTCTACCACCTCCTTGATAGCACCATGGACTGGTGGCCAAGACCTTAACCCACGGCACACTGAAGATCCAAAATATAGGAGCCTATGTAGAGCAGAGTGAAAGTTGATCCACATCTTGTCCCTCTCCACAGCGGGCTTTCTCCATGCATCAGAGGAAGCTGCAAATGCAGCTCAGTTCAACAACAGCTCACTAAGGAATCTAAAACCCAGTCATGGACCAGTCCTTATGGAATCCACAATTAAGTCATATACATCTTCTGTGTATTGCGCCACTGAATGCTGCACATTGGACCAGAACCTCATTTGTTTCTATGCCTTCCCTACCAGATGCCCATACTCCAGAGCTGGGAGTCACCTTTTACGCTCCTCTTCCTCATCCCCAGGGTTCACCCTCACATGTTGCCAACTCCCAGCACCTCCTTCTTGTCTATGTCCCACTGCTGCTGACCTTGTTCAAGCCCTTACAGCACAATTTCCTAATGAGCTGCACCACCCTAATTGCTATTCTCCACATAGGTTTGAGCAGAACTATTTCAACTCTGCTCAGGCCTTCTGTTCTCTCACATAAGGCTCAAGCAACATGGTCTAGAAAATAGAATTTTCATGGTGGAGTCCCTGATTACTTCTCCAATAACCTCACTGAAATGATCATAGTTCCTTACACTCACACACATGCACACACACACACACACACACACACACACACACATATGCATGCACACATTGCATGTGGGTTTATACCTCTATACCTGTGTTGCTTCTGCCCCTCTGCTCGGGAT